ACTTATTTTCAGTGTGGGGAAACATGTCAACGTAATTACGTAATTAATTATATTTCTTCCACGACACCTTAAAGAATTTTGAAATATTAATGACTTCAATCTTTGTCTTTATTTCAAAATGACCAAACTTAAAATTATGATAACTATCATGAAGCAATTCCAAACTTAATGCTCAAATCCTTCAAAAGCAATGCCTTCAATTTCTTCATTATTGAATCTTTTGCATGCGGAAATAAATCCAACATTTCCACGTATAGCCGAGCCTGAAGTAATTGTTCACCAGCGGTAGGTACATCGGTTAAAATGTTGAAGTCCACATCTCTCAATGATGGCATTGTTGCACATTTATCTTCTCCCGGAAGAAATGCCGCCACAGACGACAACTCGTGCATACGATTGGAAATGTGGAAGATCACCAGTACTGGGAAACATACGTTGTAATCGATCGGTCCAAAATTTCCGAAATTTATTTCAAATACACTCTTTTCAAACACATGGTTACTGAGGAGAATGAATCTTTTCATGACGGGAAATATTGGAAATTTCCATTCCATCTCTTTTTCCTCACCCTTCCAAGACGTAATAATAATAAGGTCTTGTAACGTTGAGGAATGTTTCTTCAACAATTTGTAGAAAATTGTTGGAAGTTCGTCCACCCTATCGTCAATTTTAAGGTAAGGCCTAAAGAAAAGTTTATTTAGACTAGCGGGAATTTCAAGGAGACATTCCATCCGGACAGAGTTGCATTCGCCGATCAATAACAGGGACATGAGGGATCTGAAATTATTAGGAAAACAGTGAGTATTCTTTGTGTATTTAAATTCTGGCTTCTCAGACAGATATGTAGGAACAAATGATAAAAGAGATACAGGCAGCATTTAGGCTCTGGCCAAAATAACAAATTGTGTTGTTATACAACCCAACGTGTATTTAGATATCTACATATATAGCTGCCATGACCACTTGTGATAATTAATCAAGATAAATAAATTCACAATGTGGCCTTCAAAATTCAAATTATCGCTATGATCGTTACATATAATTTGATTTTTGAAGCGGCGAATTCATAAATTAAAAATTGTATACAATTTTTTGGTAAATTAAATTATTAGATACATTATTTAGATATATCTACATAAATTCATCTACTTCATAACTGAATTGCAACATTCATCTACATAAAAATATTAAAATTTTATTATTTTAAGCCTTACCGCGGCAATCCCCATCTTTGAAATTTGGTGCAAATACTCGCAACGTGTTTGGAGGTGTTTTAAATTTGGGAACCTTAATATGTATTAATAATTAATATGGATGCCCTTAATATGTAAGAAGTCCAAGCGGACAAAGTTTAAACGTGGTCATGTCAAGTTGTGCCTGCATGATATTATGATTGAATGTAATTTACTAACACTCGAAGAGAGAAGGGATCTATTTCTGCTAAAACATGCGTACTGTTATATATTCGATCCTAAAAAAGAATCTCGGCAAGGTCGCAGCTGGCCCTTACTGCCAGTTAGCGTCTGTAATACCAAGTTCGCGCAGAATAGTATAAACTATAGAGCTATAAAAATATGGAATACACTTCCGAGAAGCTGGTCAAAGGATGGTCTGTCCTACAGTAAATTTGTCGAGATGTGCAAGGATATGTTAGTTGCTAAAAGAGATAATTATTATGTATATATTTAACTTTTCCTCCACTTATTCTTAATCTTTCCTATCAGATTATTTACTAATGTGGTGTCACAGCTTGTAAACCAGTTTAATCAACTGAATGTGAATGACACTTGAATAAAAGCAAATTGAATTGAATTGAATTGAATTGGAACGATGTTGTAATAGTTTGAACAAATTGTTCAACAGATTTATCCCCAGAATCCCAATTTTCTAAATCCTCTGTCTTTAAGCTTGTCAATTTAGGGAAAATGGTTCCTTTCAAAGCAACAAAATCCCTAACATGTGCAAATTCAAAGCTCAGTTTCTCCAAAGTCGTGGACGAAGCTAGGACAAGCATTTTACAAAATTTCCGTTGTGATGAAAATACTTCATCGCAAGGGCACAGGACATTAATCGATTTAAGCGTTGTGGTTGGCGGAAGTATGGAGAAATCGAATTTAAGCGGATAATATTCGCTACGATTTGGAATCTTGAGATTCATCTTGACCGGGTTGAAGTTTAATTTTGGAACAATTTTTGATCTAAACCAAGCCTTAACATCGTCACCGTCGTCCTCCTCGGGATATAGCAATATGTCGATCTTTGACCTGCTTTTGAGAACCGGGGTTGCCCCATAATTCCAAGATCGTGAGACTAATCGACACTTTTTGATGTATTTTGTTACAAGGAAGTTGCAAATGTGACCGATCACCTAGAAATTAAGGATAAAATTAGAAAAATTCAAAACACTAGTGAAATATTATTACATCAGAAATAAGGAATGGTTCAGTGTTGGTGATGAGAGGTTCATCTTGGGTTGCGGTGGAAGCAACCTGCTTAAAAATTTGGCAATATATATATTTAGATTAATTTTTAAAATATAGCAAATAATAATATATAATCTACCTCCGAAATGGTGCCAGCATCCTCCAACATGTTGCTAATAGGTGTGACTAAGAGATGAGATAATAACCTGATCTGAAACTGTTTTACTCACTACTAATTTATCATTCCTTGTGTTAATGTGAATAGAATATATTTCAGATCCAGAGATTTCCATACGAAGCACTCGGCCATATCTAAAATCAACACCCATGTCAGCAATCAAGTTCGTTTGAAGCAGGTTTGTTCAACCGAATGCATGACATCATCTAGGCAGGAAATCGGCACCAGATAATGCGTATTTTGCAAAGTTTTGCATAATCATTCCAATACTCACTGCAAATCACTCTTAGTCAATTCAAATTATTGTGGTACTTATGAAGAATACTTTCTATTTAAGTTTTTCTTCAATAATTATTTACTCAATAAATTCAAAAGATTTTAAGGAAGTTTAACGAGAGCCAATGTCTCCCCCATATATACAAAATGCCGGTGTAAGTAGCCATAGAAAAAAATTATTTGGTTAAGTAGTTAATTAGGCAAGTATTACATATTTCCCACCCAAAAGACTTTTTCCTGATGGGAAATTGGAAAAAGCGGGAAAAAGTAGGAAAAATTACCGCCACCTAGCGTATGTCGAATAACAACTAACGTTTTTCCAACTTTTTCCCACTGTCCGGTAAAAAGTTGCTTATACCACTTGTAACACTGGATTGAGCAAGTATACTTACATCTTTAATATTACATGATATATAGATTAAAGTTGTGTATTTAGTTTGTGCCTCGTAAAGGGATCGAAGATGAGAATGGGATTGGAAAATTTTGAAGACATGTTTCATATCATTCAGCCGTGTACCAATTATGGGGAGTTGATAGTGCTAAATTGATGTGTATACTCCTCGAGAATAATATGTGCTGGTTAATTTTATGCCGGAACGGATTACTTGATAATTAGGATCTGTGTTAATTAATGCTAATTTCATAAATATATCATAACTAAATACACTCTTTTCCTATGTATTCCATGGAGCAGTTATATACCCGCAGTTGGGGAGTCATGCTAATCCATGTAACCATTCAATTGAATTGTATTTACATAAGTGCAGAATCCATGCAAGCCGATTTACAGTGCTGGTCATAAGTCTCTGTACCCCCAAAAAACGTCTTTATTTGCACATATGTCGAGATAATAATTTGCAAATTTGCAGGGTGTTAGCCCAGAAAGATTAATTAAGAATGCCGTTCCCGATTTTGAAAAATTTTAAAAAGGTCAAAGGTCAAAATTTTTTACCTAAAAGCTCATTTTCCAACTTCTTCAGTGATTTTTTTCCTTGGTGGTTTTATTTTTGTGTTCATAGCCCAACTCATCCTGAACAGTTTGATATCTTGATCACTTCTCTACGATTTTTTTGAACAAAGCTAGAAATTTTTGAAAAAGTTGAATTTTGAAAAGTTTAACATTACGCTTATGGGAGATCGATGAAAAATCCTCAGTAGAATACAGATTGTAAATATTTCGTAAGTGATACATATGTAGTATATAATAACCATTTCCAAGGATGACATATTTCTTGGAAAATATGAAAAGAGATTTACTTTAGTATGCTTGGCATAAGAAATCTAGGTACTAGACTATTCTGCTAATTAATTCTGATTAGAAAAACGTATAATATATATTTCTTGGATATTATGAATATGTACTATTACTTAGCATTTAAATATAAAAATTGAATCAATATGAAAAGTAAACCATGCTCAATAAGTATTTGCTACAACTAAATAGTTACTATTTGATACCTTCCTTGTGCAAATTAGTTTCATTAATTTAGCAATGAAAGAATATACAAATAAATAAACATTTTCAATTTTTTATAGCCACGTAATTATTTATGAAAAAGTGATCTGCACAAATAATTTTCTAGTTGATAAGCGAAATTATGTTTTTATTGGAAAAAAATATGTTTTTGGAAAAATCGATGCGTCAAATTATAACCTGATCATAGTCTAGTGAATATAAGTAGATTTAAAAATAAAATAAATTTTCGACTAAATTCGTGAAAAGGTTGAAATATTTATAACTTTTGGTCGTCTTTTGGTGTTTGGTGAAATAAATATAGCACGATACCCAAACTCGCCCACATACATTTTCGTTTTGTCCTAGACGTGCAACTTTTTAAGGTGAATGCTTGTTACAATTTTAAGACACACCATTGCTGACAATTTCCCTGCGTGTAGATATATTGGACCCTTTTTTACTAACAAGTATTTTTAATCTATCAGAAATGTGACCATTTATTCTTTCCTAAGCCTACTGAAGGTTGGATGACCTTTTCATCACAGTTAAATATGGTATGGCTATGCAGAACCAAGTTAAATCTTAGAATCAAAATTCCAACCTTTTTAGGGTTATTGGCATACCGTCTTGTAAATGCTTGCCACTTAATACGATTCTATTTTTTGGAATAAATCCTGTAAAAATGTATAACCTACCACGTCTTAACCCCTTACATACCACAAAATTTTCCATGAATCATTATTCAGACAGATTTGGACCCTTAATGTTCACAATTTGCTCTACCTACGTCTTGTGGTGAAATTATTTCTGTGCTAGTTAATTTGCACAAGTGCATGTTACGGAATTAAAATTGCGATAAATTAATTTATTTTCTGACCAGTGAAATTTTATAGATTTAATTGAACCTTAAAATTCGATTAAATCATTGAACAATGAATCCATACAAAATAATAGCAGAGCAGGAGAAAAGTATTAAAAAACTTAATAAAGTCATTCTTAGGCAAAATGTGCAAAATATTTTTAAAGATACTATTTCCAATTTCATTGTCAGACTACGTGATAACAACGAGGCTATCAATCGTGGTGAGTTTAACGGGTATAAAAAATATTGGGGGTATTCATGTCACCATCGTAACCTGTGGGAAACGTAATAAATTCTGTGGGGGTGGGGGAACAGACTTCAGTTGAAGTTTATGACATGTGCTGTTTATTACTGCCAAGGTAGAATAAACTTGTCAAAACTCGTTTAAACCATGGGATAAACTTAACAAGGCATAAATTGGTGAATTCCAGTGGTTTTAACCACTGGAATTTTGAAAAGTGGCATTCATGAAACCCTCGTCGCGACAACGTGAATACCCCCAATCAGATTTACACCATATATTTAATGAAATGCAACCCTATCGGCCGCTTCGAATTTCCTTGGAGCGGAGAATAAAAATATATTCCAGGAGATTTAGAAATCCTCAAATTTCCTAGGACTGGGAATATGTACAACTCTGGCAGACTAACGTTGCTGTCCTGCACTTGCACTACTCAAGTTTGTCATGATTTTTACATTTAAAAAATTGTAAAAATTGTACAAAACTTACCAGGCAAAAGTTATAATGGGGGTATTCACGTCACATCGTAAACACTCACACCCCTATGGAGTATTTATAAAGTTTTTCTAAATTTTAAAACAAATTTTTGGCCATTATTTAAGTCTAAAAAAGCATGATAATTTGCATAGTTACGGACGAAATTTTGTCAACCCTCGACTCCACCGTGGAACAAGATGGTGCCCTCGTGATGCAAAAAGTTGTACGGAGTGCGAAAAAATTTTGTTGCGAAACGGCCGTTCCTTTCTGCCTCCAAGACAACGAGGATGAGGTTACACCTGTTCAGCAAGAAAATGATGATGTAGATCACCATAATTATGACTCAGGTAGGCTGGAATATTAGGAATAATATTAGAATATTATTAGCTAATTAATTAATAATAATTATCTAGATCAAACTCTGCCAATACGATGCAAATCTGGTACAAACCACAAGCAACAGGAGGGAATTGGGGCATCACAAACAAAAGTTATTTCCGATCAATCGGTGAGTCAAATTATAATTGAAATTTAACTAAAACGTTACGTTAATTAGAATTTTTGCAATATCGCAAAAAGGGTATTCACTAGTTAGTACTTTAAAAATTCGCATGTCTTTATGAAAATTTCCCAACTTTTTTTCTAAAACTAGAAACTATACGAGTATGTGCGAAATTTTAAACAAACATTTTGCAAGCATTATGAATACGTAGAAATTTGTTTAACACCGAATCAATTATCAATTCAATTAAAATACAATTTTACCCCTTAATTAAACATTTCCCAATTTTTTCCCCACCAGATCATCCACTCGATTCTGGCCTTTCTTCCAACCTTCCAACTCCTGACCTCATCTCGTGCACCAGAGTAAACTCCCAGTGGGAGAATACCGCTCGAAAACATCTCCTCGCTCGTACAACCGTCTCACTGGACATCGACACCTTAAAATCCTACCTTGCCACGATGCATACCCGATCCCAGTCCCACTCCCGGGTGAAAATCACACTTGCCAAAGATCCCACCAAAATATTACGAGGTGTCAAACATCTCTCTCAATTTGAAGAATTCGCAACCCAAAACTCGTCTCATGTCAGGCACCTCTCGATCGACTGGTGGCTAAACGGGGGACAATCCGTGTCCCGCAAATTTTTCGCAATTCTCAAAAACCTCAAGAAACTCACATCCCTCGAACTCCGACCGTTCATTCAGCTCAATGGGAAACAGTTGGAATTTTCCGGTGGCGAAATTGATGGCGCCATCCCGTCCAATTTTTACTTTTCAAAAATCAAAAAATTAGTCATTATAGGCGCCAAGTTTGGCACGAGTGATGAAACCCTGTTAAAGAAATTTATTCCGAAAATCCTCCCCCATTTCCCCAACGTGGGCAGCATCTCGCTAAAAAATGTGAGACTACGGGCCCGCGATTCGGAGTGGATTTGCGAAACAGCAAATTTTTTTAACACCCTGCATTTCGCGGATGGCTATTCACTCGAGCAATTTGCGAAATCTGTTCCCCCAACGGAGATTAAGATTCGACCAAGTATTACACGGTTGGGGTTGAATTATTACGAAATTTCAAGCCACGGGGTAGAATTGGTGAAAAGATTGGCACAAAATTTGGAACATTTGCACCTCCACGGGATCAAAGTTGCCCGAGTGGGGAGCATTAGGAGAATCTGTTTGCCAAATTTGGCGAAATTAAAACTATTAAAGATTTCGATAAACCCGTACTGCAAAAATGCGCACGGAGTAACACCAGGTATCGGGTTCATATCATCTCCATCTGGCGGGAAAAGTAGCACCGTTGTAGGAATTGATTACAAGAATCAGTTACCTGTCATAGAAAAATTAGCGATTGTGCGAGATCTTGAGTGTGAAGAGGGTAAAGATGAAATTATGTTGAACGATGGCATTTTCTTTGACGCAGTCGCACAAATGATGAATGAAGGTATTTTTGTGAGAAAAAGTATTTCACCGTGTAAGACGCTGAGATGGCTCGAGATTCCGGGTCCGATAGAAGGGCAGAAGGTTAAAAGGAATTTGAGCGAGGAGTGCGATTGTGGGGATGATTTTGAAGGAATATGTGACTGTGAGGAGGGAGAAGATGTGGCAAAGTTTTTTGACAGGGTGAGAAAAAGTTTTCCCATGGTGCAGTTTTAGACGATGGTGAGAGCAGTGTTGTATATTTCTAATCTGAAAAACTTTTTCCCGCCGGGAAAAATTTCTGCTACCTATGGTATGGACATTAAAAAGACAATTTTTGATTAGTTTGTAAATTTTGAAGGTCCAAATCTCCCCCATTTCTAGTCCGATTTTCTAAACTTAAAATTTTTTGAAAGCCATTTATTTGACCCGTGGTGTAAATGAGGGGGAATGAAATGTGGGAGATTAAAAATGGGGAATGAACTGGTCGGACACAGGGTGAGAGAGCGGAGAGATTTTGCAAGTTTTTAGATATTTAAATATTATTCGTGTTACGCAAGTACTAATTATTATTCACAAGAGTTATTTACTTATATTGAGAAAGTGATTTAAGTTACAATTTTGCATATTATTTTTAATCTGCTAGTGAATTTCGCAAGAATCTGGAATTAATTTAAATAAAGTAGAATAAATTTGTAGGATCATTTGTTTTTCAAATTAATAAAATTTATACATAATCGATTGGGTTTAAATTGTGAACATGATGATTGTATCATATTTTGTATTTTAGCTTAAAGTTTCAAGTAGGCGAGCAACAATTTACCGTAAAGTAATGCTAAGCATTTAAAATATACAATTTCGCAAGAATCTTTAATTAATTTAAATAAAGGAGAATAAATTTGTAGGATTATTTGTTTTTCGAATTAATCAAATTTATTCATAAGCGATTGCATTTATATTTTCAATATTATAATATTTATTTTATATTTTAGATAAAAGTTTCAAGTAAAATATATCTCCAGAATTTTATGAAGGTCACGGGCAAGCAGGAACTGGGCAAGGGCAGACGGGTTCATGGTCACAGTATCCCAAATTTTCGCAAAATACGAGATTGGACGGACAGACGAATACATTATGCTGATAACCGACACCAAGGAAAACACAACTGTGGAACATGTTGCACATACAGGGATCTCGAAATGTTCCTTCTGCTGTGCAAACAAAGTCCGAAGATGGTACAGTGGTAGTTGTCGGCGTGGTTGTGGTCGGATTAGTTGTTGTGAGGGTGGTTGTGGTGGGTGTTGTGGTTGTGGGGGTAGTTGTTGTGGGTGTTGTAGTCGTGGAGGTAGTTGTAGTTGGTCTTGTAGTCGTGGAGGTAGTTGTAGTTGGTCTTGTAGTCGTGGAGGTAGTTGTAGTTGGTCTTGTAGTCGTGGAGGTAGTTGTAGTTGGTCTTGTCGTCGTCGTCGGAGTAAATGTTGGATGTTCAATTTCACGGTTCACGCGAAATACAAATTTTCCTGCTTCATTTATATTAGACCTCGCAACTAAACTTGTAGAGTTGATGGAACACGAAGTTGGCAAAGGGTAAAACAGCCCACCCGACCCTCCACTTATTCCCGCAAAACAGTACAAACCGGGATCTGTATTAGAGCAAGTTTGCCATAAGTGGTATTCCAGCCGTTCATAGTACATGATCGCATACGTCTCACCACCTGCTCCAATGGCAAGTACTAGTTGAAATGTATTGAGCATTGTATTACACCTCCTATACGGAGGGACACGAAGCCATGTCGCGATAACTAGATGTGTCAAAGCTTGTCCAAAGTCTGAGAAACCTTTGCGAATTTCGCTTTGCGCTTTAAGTAGTAGTTGTGGGTCTTGTGTCCGTCTGAAACATACATCGCCGGCTAACCCACTTCCAGGTTCCATACCATGGTGGTTGTGTGCACTGTAGATTGAGATGAGAGGTATAGTCCATGTTCCGCATGTAGCACTAGTACTAGGATTACTGGTTCCTGTATATAAAATAGTTTCAGACAAATTTGCGTTATAACGTTTATGGGGATCAAATTAGTATAGGCTGAATAAGTATAATTTATTAGTATAATTTCGAAAACTAGAATTTTTAGCCCGAGTCAGCGTTTATGTAGCCGTCAAGACCGTCTGTCCATCTAACAATACCGGCCGTGGTAAATTGGTAAAAGGACGGACCAAACTCTAACCATGCGAGGCCGCGAAGTGTTTATCTCCGATCTTGATGGGACTAATTTTTTTTTGATCACCTCAAAAAATAAGCCGACGCATAATTTTGCGTTTTCGATAATACTCAAATTTGAACATGTGGCGGGAATTTCAAACTTTTTTCAGCCGAAATCCCGGATTTTAAAATCCTCAGAACTTTTTAGTTTTGGCGCGAATTAAAAAATCCAAAAATATGTATGTTCAGAATTACTTCCTTGAACTTGAAAAAATACTAGTTTTCGGAATTTTTGAAAATTTGACTTTTTGTGTAGGGTTTGATTTTCGAAAAATTGCAAAACTATTGAAACTTATATTTTTATAAAGTTTGGGCAACTCATCCTGAGCATTTTGATGTTTCGTGCGCCTTTGTGCGATTTTTTTTGCGCCCGTAATAATTTTTTAAAAAGTACAGTTTTGAAAAGTTATAACATTGTGCTTATGGGGAAAAGTTCCAAAACTGTACTTTAAAAAAAATCACTGTAGGCGCAAAAAAATCGCACAGAGGCGAACTATACATCAAAATGCTCAGGATGAGTTGCCCAAACTTTATAAAAATATAAACGTCAAGAAAAAAATTTTCTAGGGGTAGGTAATTTTTGGGGTCGGAGGTAAAAAAAATCGTGATCTTTGACCTTTTTAAGTTTTCTTAAAAATCATATAGTGACCTCCCCACAAATGTATTCAGGTATGCATGTTCAAAATTTCAAGTATCTACCTTTTTCCTTTATCGAGATAAATGGAATAGAAAAAGGTGCCTTCTTCACTTACACTGACTGTATTTACACAACAATTAATTTGTAATGCTATATTTATGATCGGAAATACAATATTAAGGCTTTATGAAAGACATCGAATATGTATTTTTATATGGAATATATTTAAAAGTAAATGGATAAAGATACAAATATTTACGTACCACTTCCAAATGAAAACATTCCATTGTTATTCAAAAAGATTGAGGTGTAATTTTGGTTAAGAAATGATACAGCTCTTCCTACTGTCCACAAGGGCGTATTTTCAGAATCGTAGTGGTTAACCACGCAAGAATCCCCATTTGCCATTCCATGAGAAAAGAAATCACTCAGTTCCACTCCTCCAGTGTTGGTTAATGCTAAACAAAAAATTAAACTTGAAATATAGAAATTCTCCATCTATTTAATTTTTAGTGTTTCTCAATTTAAGCTAGGATCGCAAATAAAATTGTGTATAATTGCTCTTATGTTTATATACACTGGCTTAAATTGTTTTTATTGTGTCAAGTATCAATCCATCACAGATATGAAGTAGAAATTTGTACATGGACGCAAATTAATTCGTCAAACTTGACGTTATTTTCGACGCATTGCGGGGCAAGTTAGTAAACACTTATAAATAACTTTTATAAATTGGTATGGAAGCTGGACACGTACCACTCACTTCCCACCCCTTCGTCATTTCCCTTCCATGATAACGTTCCATCCATCATTTCCCTCCCGTGATAATTTTTATTATATAACTAACACGTAAATTAAGTAAATGTGTGTATCTTGGTCACCTCATCAGTGAGGTTTAATGTTCAAGTTTGAGTCATGACATGATAAAATGTCAAATGGCGATATAAATAACTATAATAAAAGAATTGGATAAAGTTTTGCTTAATCCATTTAGACATGAGTAGATACCTGGATTTTCCAACGAAGAGAAATTCTCCGAATTCAGTGGAATGTTTTAAAGTCTGGAATTTTGATCAATCGATCTTGAACAGATACTGATTAACAGTATTACTTAATCTATTTATGTAAGCATGTACAACCTGTTCAATCAATCACAAAATAATTCTACGAAATTTGTCGTTATCTAATAATGTCAGAATAGTTAATCGGTTTGCCAGTCATACATAAATTTGTGCGACTTTGATATTATCAGTTGGTATTGATTAATAGCATGATTATGGGCAGTGTTGCATATTTCCCACCCACAAGACATTTTCCCTGGGCAGGTGGGAAGAAGTGGGAAAAATTGGGATTTACCGTCCAAATCTCATCACTTGGAAATGTAGTTGGTCGAATACTTACATCCTTAGAGTCTTCAGGCCTCCTTAAGGAGAACTCTTTCCCACCAATGTATCCCTTATTTGTCAAAAACGCCGGTTTAAGTAAATATAGAACAATGTATCAGATTAAGTAGTAAATCAGCATTAAGTATTTTCAACAATACCCTCATTTTCAAACCTGAATTTGAACTCATTTTATTGCATAATGTAACATGTATGTATTGAATTTATAGTTCAATCACTCCTTGGCTTCTTTATCTTAATCATTTTAACACTCATAGTACAAATTTCGACAGAAAAACAAACCGCTGCTAGGACTATGAAACCTGCCCAAATTATAAACACTGTTTGAATACTTTCGCCCAGTTTTACGCCACTAATTCCAAACCTAATTCTGCCCTCTTGTAACATCTTCCCCCTGATTATTATCGTTTTCCCGAACCGTTTCTTAAATTCGTTTAGTGCAAGAAACTGGTTAAGTTTTTCATAAATCCCAACCTCGATTAAAGCAACGAAACTTTTTACTACGGAGGAACCTCGCGTAGTTTCAAACTCCCAACCGAACGGTTTTCCCAGAATGGGAGTTTGCTTGGAAATATGGTTAAATTTTATCCATGGGTAGTTTCTTTGAAGGTATGAGAGATGTCGGAGTAGATCTCCTCTTTCTGAGATGAGGGCGGATTTACTACAGGCCACAATCTCTTCTTCTATGGCGGAGTTGACCTCGGTATCTGGCAAAAGCGAGTATCGGCCTCTGGCTGAATAGATAAATTTCAAATTAGAATCACTGACTAAAAATTAGGATTAAATTAAGTGTTTCCTCTTACGCGCATAATTTTCATACCCTCTCGGATAAAATCTCTTCTCCGTGTCCATCATATAGTACAAGACTTCCTTAACCCAACCCGGCGTTTGATCCCGTGCCGTCATAAAACTCGTAAATATATTTTGCAACTCATAAAAGTGTAGACACTTCGGAACAACTACATTATTTACAGTTGGTTTTGAAAGCAAGTTGTAACAGTTCGGGGTAAGTTGAGAAAAATTTGAATTTTGCGCCTGTATAATGTGAGCATAGTAGAGAGAAGAGTATCGAGATTCTAGCATTTGTCCATCCGTTAGTTGGCTTCCAGTCGGAATTGGAATCTTGCCAGAGCATGTAATCGTTTCAAAATTGTTCGGAACCTCCTTTAAAAGGGGGGAATTTAAACTTGTTATGGCTAATCCGATATAGCACTGGACCAAAATTGTTGAACAGATTGCCCACACTCTGCCATTTATGCGGAATGGGTTGGATTCTTCGAGGGCTGGAGGGACGGGAGTGTATTGGCCGAGGATGGTCCCAAAGTAGAAGAAGTATGGGTCGAATCTAAGGTTATGGCGCAAGTTTAGAAAAAATATATCAGCTGATCATTTGGGTGAAATTACGGACACCTTGAACACGGCGCTCAATACCTTTTAATTCCTAGTAATTCCCGGACATAGAAATCAGTTAGCAAAGCAATCATCCCGAATCCGACGAGAACCCCGATCCAGACCCAAGTTTGAAACGGCGCCGAGTAAAATGAGAAGGTAACCCGATCCTTGGAGAAACAAGTGAGAAAATTATACATTGAAACTCCCGTAATGACAATTGAAGGTTTGTCCAAATCATTGCCGAACCAATAGCGTTTTTGAAACCTGATATATCATTAGTATAATTCATGATTAATATAATTCACGATTTTGTAATAAAAAAACACATCAAATTTCTGTATTTGGCGGGATTTACCTAATTCTCGGGATTGAACAAACCATATCGCTCCGTCTCGCATTGCACTCTGCGTCCCTTGCTGGTTGCACTTTCGACTTCTTCGAGCTTCGATTGTGCAGCGTCGCATTTATTTTCCGAGTTATGGTGTACACGATGTAGTCAAATATTTCCAAAGTTTCGAACGGATTGCTGTTTTCTGTTCCGAACTTTGTCAACATTTGTTTCTCAGTGTACTGTTTCAAGTCTTTACGATCATAATACCAGTCTTTCGGCGGGCGAATGTTTCTGAGAATGGCGGCCAAATTCAAAACATTAGGAGGAGACATGCACTTATAATTTTGAATTTTCACAAGCCAACAAATAACTTCTTGAGTGAAAAGTTGTTTTCGGATCTTAAGTATCACGGCTAGTTGAGGTAATTTGCTTCTAAGATTATGAAGCATTTTACTCTCATAATTCGGTACTATATTTGGAATTACAACTGTATAAAGATTTTCAGGATTTCGTAACTCTGCCAACTTAGCAGATGGGTTTGTTTCCGAAATGGAAAAGTATGTCGACACTACAGTCTTGATCAAGTTGGTTAAATTAATCAATGAAGCCGAATTGTGCAAGTCGATATGTAAGATTAGAAGCCAACAGAGCTTTTCACGGAAGCGTGACCAATCCCGGAATGAGTTATAAGTTTCTTGATGGCCAAAATTTGTCATAAATTCGTCACTGTTTTCAAGCTCGAAAGTCGACAATGTAGTCGGCATCGTTGCACTTTTAGTTGCTTCCCAATTTAATAATGCACTCGTTTTAATAATGCAATGATGGGGAGAACAATCAGGAATTAAGGATGGTATATCAGTCATACTAAATACTAGGAGGGCGTTTATGAAGATACAGAGTGAATATCTCGCGATATTCCAGACAAACATTTTAAAGTGAATATTTCCTAAGAAAAGAAGGCACGAAGACGGACTATATTTTTTTTTAAATCTCTTCCGACGAAATAGTAGCTGCTGTAATGTACTAAATACAAATTCGACATCGCTACGACGTTTACTCAAGGAACTTGTACATATATTTCTCAAGCGGATGTTCAGAGATATAATAAGAATTATATTTTTCAGTAAAACTTTGCCTACTTACTTGTTTCTCCATTCTTATCAATTAAATATTTCAGTAAAAACTTTTTCCCTGTATCCGGTCGACTTGGGTAATATCTCTTATGAACGGACAAAAATGTTGCGAAAATAAGCACAAGTGGTGATTCATTTCCCAATAAGTGGTTATGTTTATATCTACACATATTAGAGTAAGATCACCAGATATAAAAAACTAATGTAAACTTAAAACTAAAGTAAAGGTATCTTTAAGTATATCTCTAGCGAATATGCAAGTACTGAGATAAATTTGAAACTGTAATGTATGAAGAATGTGGACAATAAAAAATTAATTCACCACGAATTATTAATGCTACCGCAATATTGATATCTGTGACTGGGTTAGGTTGCAATGAGAAATATTCTGGGCATGTTATCAGTTCATGGTTAAAGTGCTTATCACTTACTCAATGGATTGAACTAAATATGTTATAATTTTTTTATCATTTCTTAAGTTTAGAAAATAATAATGGTATACTATTATCTATTATTACTAAAGTCTATTAATTATAATTAATGGTATTTTCATTCGCAATTTTTAATACGAAAACTTGTTGCTCTATTCACCTTAATGAATTAAATTTATAGTAAATTATACAATGCTAAATATTTTCCAAGTATCACTATCAAGTTGAAATCATACCGCAGGAAAACGTATCTTATGAGGGTAAATATGTAAATGTGACATTCATAATCCTTTTTAGGAAGGGATCCTTTTTTAAGAAAACCTTTTTAAAGTGTATTTAAAAATAGGTTGGGTAAAAGACTAGTTAATAAAACCAAACATAATTTAGGGGCTCGGGTACTTGTCACTTATCCCATCCCATCGGCGTCACAATTCTCCACAAAGACATTTATCCAAGTAGGGATAAATATTTTGTCAACATATTTCAAGTATTTAAAATTCTGTAATTTTGGATATATTTTTTTTTTTCCAAAAAATTTCAAACAATGCGCTCTCTTAATAATTTTTGCGTCATTACGACATCCATTCTCTTCATTTGCATGACCACCATTTCATCCACGAACGCTTTAATCGTTACGTTAACACAGGACTCAAATTTTAATGGTGAGTTAAAAAATATTTAGATTTATTTATTTTTAAGTAACATTATAAATATTTAACTTAAATATTTTTTTTAATTGAAGGAAATCGGATGTCTTTTGAAATCCCGGCAGGAACCTGTTCTGCCCTACCGGACGATTGGACCAACACCGTGACCTCGATGGGTCACTCGGATTGTGTGATAGCCTGCTTCAGTAGGAATTGTCAAGGGGTCTGTGTCGAATTTACGGGTCAGGCGAACGCAGACTTTTCCAATAGTGACAACAACGATAAGTTCAACTCGTTCCGGGGATGTTGAGAAATTTATGCATATTTTATTTTGTAATGATTTATTTTAGTTTGGTGGGTAATAAATGAGAATGTGGAATGTTAAAAATTTGCATTTAATTGTTAGCATATTAAAATGTAGGACGTATGGAATTCTTTAAAATTACAGATGAAGTATTTGACCATTACACTAAAAATAATGTGGTAATACATTTATTACCGTTGGTGACGATACATGACTAACAGAATAGTAGCAATCTGCAACTGCGGCGGTGATAGATTTTCGCCGTTGTTACGGCTGTGGTTATACTTTCTACTACAGCGGTAACAAATAGAGCCACCGCCACAGTCGTAGTGTCAATTTGCTACAGTTCCAATAGAGTCATAAATCGTCACCGCTGGCAATAAATGTATTACCACATTATTTTCAGTGTAGGTTGGTGTAGTCGTAAATGTGTATATAGGTTTGGTGTGGATTTTTCATTCACGTACATAAGCTAGCGTATTTCCTTTAGCGTAAACTTAATATTTTTATGCTGCGAGTTGAATGTCAATGCTCTTGTAAGAATTCGTCCCTGATGACCCCCAACTGTGACGTGTTTATTTATGTATACTTATCGGCGACAAGTTGTCGCGTCCTAGTGGTTCAGCTCGGGTTATAAAAAAACACATTAATCATACATACATTCTACATTTTTACCTTTTGCTTTGTTGGATTCTAATTTCGTTTAAAATGGTCTAATTTGTAAAAAATAAAGTGTTCCTATGTATCCAACCCGTCCACATGAAATCTTCTTACACATAAACTCATGATAGTACAGCAATTTTCACGCCACTTCCCTCGTACCACTTGGACTTTAAGTATTTAGAGAAAACTTTTCGGTCACAATTACTCGGAGAATTAATTTACCCTAACAATGGGGGGCAAGTCCAATCCAAATATTTTCGCAATTACTGCATCACTTCTCCTACTATGGGTAACCATTTCAACGACGAGTGCGCTAAGCATGACACTAACGCAGGATGGAAATTTTGGAGGTATGCAAATTCATATATTCAAGAAAAATCTTAAAGTCTTGAAAATTAAGTTTTGCACTGGTTAAATTTGTTAAATTCTATGTAGGAAATCGCCTCAACTTTGACATCCTTCCCGGCATATGTTACGTTTTGCCGGACAGCTGGACAAATACGGTCACCTCGATGGGTCACTCGGACTGCGTGATGGCCTGTCCGAATCGGAATTGTCAGGGTCAACTAAGCTGTGTCAGGTTTGATGGGGCTGGAAACCTCGATTTCAGCAATAATTATGATTTTAACGATAAGTTTAACTCTTTCATGGGATGTTGAATTTAAAGTTGGAACAATATTATTACTAATTATTATTATTGTTACTAGTAATTGTAAAGTTACAATGTGGATTAAATATTTCATTTATTGACCAACAATAAATTTCATTAAGTACAAAAAACATGTAGTTTAATTTCATAGATTTCTTACCAATGTATAAAATTAATTAAATCTTATTCAAAACAATCAATTAGTTTGTGAAATTTTATAATTTTACTAAAAAATGCAACTAACCTTATAGAATTTCCACGTCGTTCGTTTCTTATTTGAACATTAGTCATTTTTCGTCTTAAAATAATAATCTTTAAATTAGATATATTCCAATGTCGTAAATATTTGTATTTTAATTTCCCCATGTTGCTGTAACCTTTCTAAACACCAAGACATCTAACTGGCCATTAATGTGACTACTGCTCCCATTACTTGACCCCTTCCTCCCGGTAATGTCTACGGAGGCATAGAGCTTAAACCCGATCCGTTTCATGGCGTAGATTAAATGGCATACGAGCTGTTTGGCCGCGATGCTTTCCCCCTGTGCACTGGTACACCACGGACTTCCGTGTAATTCCAGCCCGGCAGCGCCATAGTAGACTCTGTCGGCACGTATCCCTGCCGGCCACGCGTTTTTCACCGTGGTCTTGAAAATGTCGACAAGTTGGGGATTCGAGGGATTGATAAGTCTACAGAAATTGATAATATTATAGTCACGTTATGAATTTAATAGGCGTGGATCTATGTACCACTGCTATGGTAACAATACCGATTACTAGATTCGGTATAGTAACCGTAGAAGTGGTAAATCTATAATTGTTTTTAATTTTTTTTAAATATTCCGCTAACCTAATTCTATCCCTCCGATTGAAACTGACGGCAAATGTTTCCACGTCTGGATCAGGCTTTGCAGTTTCGAAGAACATGGTATCCTTATCGTTCGTTTTGCGTGTAGGGTCAAAACTTTGTAAAAGCTGCCAACCCTGTGTCGCTAAGTGGAATAGGATTTCTGTAAGAAGTCTGAAAAACAGGGGACCACGTTTTTAAATTAGTAAAAAAAATTTCCTGCATATCAATTGACCAAAATTAAGGTTCTAATTTGTGCATAAAAATCAGCTTTACTTCTTCACTCTCGCTTTAATGCATATACCTTAATTAATGCATATTTTTTAAATAGCGAAATATTTAAATTCGCAATTATCATTAATTACCAATTATTAAATACTCAATCATTAACTCACGTTCTCGAAGCAACGCCATCACTTTGCTTTCCAAACCAGGGATTGCCATTCAAATTAAATTCGTGCGCACCATACGCGACAGCTTCGGATGATAACCCTTTCCCCTATCCCGTCCCGATTGCTTTGCGAACACAACTAATTAACTCCGGGGGAAGCGATGGGACTCCGTTGAGACGAATAATATGCGTCTTTGAAAACTGGATGGAACATATTCCATCGAAATTAGGGGAGGAACAATGTGCCATTTTTTATGTATTTATTTATTTATAATTAAATAAAGGCAGACCGAATTAATTTTGCGGGATTGCAACAAGTTTGCAATTCCTCAGCTGATTTTTTGTGCTGGGATTACACCATCCCGAGTAAAATATTTCGCTATGCTCAGCCTTTTATATGTTTGATTGGGCATTATACGCATCTTTTTTTTTGTTAGGGTGAGAAACTTGTTTTTTGTAGCGTATGCAGCACGCTTGACACGACAATGGGGATACTCATCTCAAAGTACGAGTTCTTGTCGAACACTTTATTTAACAAATTGCACTATTTCTATAGTAAGCACATGATCAGATGTCGTTATCAAATTATGTTAAAAATAAAATATATTTCGCACATGCCGTCCAACTTGTGCATCTCCATGTTAGTAATTTTAAACTTAAAGCTTATGATTCTAGGTTAAAAAATATCTTCATACGAATTTGTAACGAATTTCGAAAATTTCTATTTTGTGCGGAAATAAATACGTATGCAGGTATTTTCTATACAGTGTGGAATAATTTAGGACAGGGTGGCATCATGCTCTATAATGTTGACCCGATAAATTGTATAGTTAAATTTTTACACAGAAAGTTACGAATCGTTTAATTCATTTATTATTGAAACATTACCAAATTTAGCCAATTTAAATTTTGAAACAAACGTAGAAATTGATCAACCAATAATTTGCACACAACATAAAGGTAAGTCTTGAGAGGTGCAATCGGATGATGGTAACGCAATTCCGGTAGGAAGACAGTCCAGCTCACTGGCAACGCAGACTCCATTGTTTCCAATAATGGTCCCACATTCCACAGTGTTTGGTGCAGCTACAATAGGTAGATAAATTTACAGGTCAATTAAAGAAATAAATAGGCGGGGATATTGTAGGCATCGTAATATATTTTTTTGGAAATATTTGCAAATGAAAATAGACAAGTTTGGAAATTAAAAGTTCGCGAATTTTATTTTGCTATTAAAATAAGTGTTCATAAATTGTGTCAGATTTCGATTTACATGTTTTTAATTTAATTTTAATTTAATTGTAAATTTACTAAAAAAAAGAAAGGGGCCGAGGAAAAAAATAAAAAATTCAACCACACAATTTATGCACGGCCTTTTGCATAATTTTGAAATTAATTTTCTTACCATCATTCGGACGAGCGGTGGACGCCAGGATTACGCTGGCCACGATGGAAAGAGTCAAAATTAACTTCATTTTTAAATTTTTATAGAAATTGTAGAGGGATGAGATGATTTTTGTAAATAATTTCGGAAATCTCTGATATCAACCGACAATACAAGAATGATTAAGACATTGCTAAAATTCGACTATTTATGCATAATTTTCGCTCTGAACTTCCTCCTCGAATGACCATTTTAATCTGCCTCGTGTCACTATTATCGGGAGAGTAACGGAGAGCGTGAAACTCAAGAGGCACAATTGGACATGTACACATGAAGATGATAAAGTTCACAGGTTGACATTTGCCCCTGTTTCACAAGATTTTGATAAATCCAAGATGTTGTTACCAAATATGATCTGGACACAAGTTTATCCAAGTTTCCATCCTATTAACACCTTACTTAACCGTGCTCGTGAAATGGTTGCAGTATGGCTTTGATTTGCAAAAAAGTTATGTTAGCAGTACAGCACACAAATCTTATTTCGTAACGAGGAATAAACTTTGATTTGTTCCTCAACCGACACATGCTTTGGAGAGGAGGCGAGTTATGCACATATTTATTATATTATGTTACACTTACATATATATTTAAGTAATTTACATGTCACCTAGAGTAACGATACCAATTATTTCCTCACATTTCTACAACTTTTGTATTTCTTGGAAAAATGAAAAAAAATTTCATCGCGGTATTTTGCAAACATTTCGTCACAAAGTACATAATTATAATTTTTTCTCCCACACTAAAAAAATCAATCCAGCTATAACTTGTAATATCTCTCTAGTTCCAACCAGTCTCACCAAATGTTTCACCGCGATCATATTTTCATCCATAATCCCCCCTTCTCATAGCTTGAATTGCTTTATTTATGCCTGCTCTCTCCCCATGCACAAGCAAACGAAACAAACCGCTCTAAACTCTCCCAGGAATTTTCTCACTTTTGCAATGTTTCCTCGTGTATTAAAAATCTATCGAAATACGGCACATTGTTCGCGCAATCGACGAATAAACACATTTGTTTGGGTAAATATTTTTCCATTAAACCCTTAAAACCATTATCGCTCAACATATTGAGAAAAGCGTGACGAGAATTGATAAATGAGAGGAAGCTTGTATTTATTTGGGCCAGCGTGGCTGGCTCTTGTCTAGATTTGATGATCAATTTCATAACAAATGTTGTCCTCACGACGAATTCTCCATTTACCGCTGCACGACCCAGTTCAATCTTAAGTTTATCAATTATTCTTTTAATTTCCCTATCCTCCCCGTTTGACCGGAAGTATGTCCAGTCGTACGGAATGTTTATTATGTAGCGAGATCTCATAATGGCAATAAATTGTGAAATGGAATATTCGAATACGATTTTTTTAACGTGCCAAATTTGCTGTTACATTGTGATTCAACATTTCTTCATCCTTATATGTATAGTGGAATCTTGTCATTATTCTACTTCATTCTTAGGGGTGGACGCCACCGAGGTATATTTTAACATATTCAGCCCCGAGGTTTCAACAAAAGAACATATGTACATAGAAAGCATTGCAAGGGTTTGTAGCGGAAACTTATATCTCGTTGTAATTAACAGAATCTCTCTTAGTTTGCAATTATTCCTAGAATATTTGCGTGTTTTGCGGTGTGAAGTAAATTATTCAAACGTTTCTAAATAAGTATTCTGTAGTCTTGATTCTGTACATATATATATAAAGGTTGCATGATTTTCGCGTCACACATGCCATGTAAAAATATTCATTTACTTGAAGGACTTATATAGTCGAAGAAAAATAATTTACGTAACCCAGAATATGCGATTCTACGTCGAATTTGGTTAGAAATATCCAAGCACGAAACTTATTACGACCATCATATTTTCTCCCTTGTTCATAACAACTGGAGTTTAGGTATGTTCGTGTTTTCGAATTTATGAATATTTTCAGTACTTCAGTAGAAAACTGTTAAGTTGTGTAAAGAGTTAAAATTTGAGATTAGATAAAACATTTTGCTTACAAATAAAGCTCAGTGTGTTGAAGGCATCCATCTGGATCGAATCTCTAAAACTCATCTTTAAAACGTTCATAAACAATAGACACAGTTGTTTCTACCTTTCAAACAATATCAAAATCGGCATCAATTATTTGCATTAAGAGTTATGCGTAAGTTTTAACTTAAAATTTACGACGTGACGTGTTTTATTTAAAATAAGGAGAAGGAAAAGGTTGAACATTCCTGTTAAGTGTTTATACATCTATTTTGTTACCTTATGTATTACGTGAAAATATTCAACACGTACACATTTCAAAACGCTGCCATATATAACTATAAAGACGGTTTGATTATGCTTCCTATGTTATATTTCGTGTTGATATCTTTCCCCTCCCTAAGCACGTCAGATACGATAACGGCTATGACGCGGATTGGCAAGTGGTTCGAATCCAGTACAATCCAGCTCGTAACATCGCACGAGTTTTTAAAGTCATCCGACTTTCTCAAGTTAAAGAACCATTTCCCCACCTCTCCTTTCTTATTGGAAGCTATCTCATTCTATCCTGATTTTTCATCAAATCTACATCCACTAGTCCCGCGGAACAAAGAATGGCTCACTATAGTTGCCTTAGATTCGACACGAAGTTACATCCTTCATGATTTCTTGATAAAAAAATTTCTACTCATAAATTATAAAAACTCCAATCCTGAATATGTTCTACTCTATCACTTAAAATCGTTTCTACTCAGCACTAATCACATTTCTCTGATCCCAGGTGCACTAAAGCTTCTCATTGTCCCACACTCTTCGCCAACAATTAATACCGTTTGCATTCCTTGCTCATCAATCCCGATTATTGAATCTGCAACTTTATACGAGTTCGATGATGTATGGAACACTTACAATGGAAATCTTCAAAATCAATTGGTTACCTTTATCGATATTCACAATAATATCGTAAAGTTAGAAAAGGTGGATGGAGATTGTGAATCTGTGGACTGGTCTTATTGTGGTGTTTCATATATTGCAGAACTGAGAAATTTTACAACTACCCGTAATCAATATAACAAACTTAACCATCTATTTGATATATTTGAACGTTACGAATCTCACATGGATTACTACTTCTTCAATCCGTCAGCTTCCAAGGCGGATTATCTTGTTAGCACAAAAGCCCCGTTCAACTTTTATGTAATTGTTGCTAGACCTAGGTCACTGAAAGGGTTTGAGTCGCTAATCGAACCGTTTTCATAGGCCACATGGTTATCAATATTGATTACGTGTTTTATCGTAGTCATTCTTATCTATGCTGCAGACTCTGTCGAAAAGCGTCATTTCTTACTAGAAAGGTCACTAATTGAGGGATTTTGGTTTATCTATATTGTCCTAATATCTCAAAATAACTCTAGAGTTGACCCACTAATGGGCAAATGGGGTGTTAATGCGATCTGGATAGTGGGATGTTTCATGCTCGGTACAACCATATTGGTATCGCTGTATGAAAGCGAGCTAACCACGTCGATGACAACGGTGATATACCCGTTTATCCCACTAACTTTAGAAGATGTTGCAGAATCTGGAATTCCGATTATTTCTGCTGGTAAATCTTATTACGGTGGTAACCTAGAATACCAAATTAATAACGCCATAACTCTAGGAATTTACGGAAAGAACGTTTCATCCATTTTAGGAAAACTTAAACGAAATATATTTCTACCTGGGGAATCTGCATATCCTATTGGGCGCAAAATATCTCAACAGGACGAACTATACGAGTATAATACTACAAAGGAGTTAAACACGAAGGGTAAAACTTTAGCAATAATGGACGCCATGTGGCACACAGATGGCATGCTTGACGGTATAGCGTCGTCCCCGTCTATCATCGTTTTCCAAGGGAGAGAAGTCTTATCCTTTAAGGAGGATTTGATGT